CCCTACATATAATATTTATAAAAGAGAAATGGTATAAAAGTCAGCCTGGATTGTGTAATCATTGTCTGGAATGATCTTAAGATAACTGTCAAATGATGAAAAGTTTTATTACACATTTTCCTGTGGTTTAAATAATCAGGCTTTTAAATATTAACCTTTGATGGTTTTTTGTTTTAAGGAAAAATGCATAGGAGTGTATTGTTTTGAAGTCTAATGTATTAATTTGGCAATTACTCTAGCTGTCCAGGTTTGAACATGTGGGCTGGTTTTACTCTCCATTGTTGGTAACACATTCTCTCTTAACAGTAATAGTGACAAACTCAAATGTTAGCATATGTCACTTACGTATTTTGCTTCTGTTTCTCCTCTACATGAGGAGCTTGGATCCTTTGGAATTCTTGCTGTTCTTGCGCAGATTAAACTTTCATTAAAATCAGTATAGGGTCTTGTTTTGTTGAGGTTTTTTCCTCTGTTTAGGGACTGAAGGAATAAACTCTATAATATTTGCAGTTGCTGTATTTTAAATTGGAAAATGCTTATTTTTTGTTGCTATTATGACATGACATGCCTCTTGATGTCTACCTTTCTGTAAGAATTACTGCTGAGAGCCAGCTTTGGCCAAGAGTACAAAGTGGTTTCTTCTAAAACAGTACCACAAGTAGACTACTCGTATGAAGTCCTCCTCATCCACACCTGCCTGTGGGAATTCAGCTGGAATCAATTTGAGTTACAGATGTTTGTCTCCTTTTGAGATCACTTGATCTTTGACCTAACTTTTATACTAAACCTAACTGTTATACAAAAATTAGTCTGCTCTGCCTGGCTTCAAATCCTTTTAAACCCATATCTGCTGCGTGGCAGGCAGGGTCGTAAAGGCTTGACACAAGGTGACCTGGGGGTTTTTTGGCTATTTCACATCTCTTTCCTCTGGAGATCTGGGCTGGTTGCCTAGCAGCCTTCTCTGCATCTTCTTTACTTTCGTTGGCTAGAAAGCAAGATTTGAAATTCTTCCCCAACTTCTAACTTTCTTATAGAGTCAGCCCAGAGACTAGCTGCAGTGCTTGTGCTAACAGATGTCAGTTTTCCTGCGAATATCCAAACTAGTAAATTAAGGAAATCACCAGCAATGCCTTCATACAAGTACTGACTTTTTGAAGCTGCCAACCGACGGTTGCTAATGTAAAATCTCTGGGCAGTGCCACAAAGAATTAAATCTGTGTATTAATTAAAAATACAATGTTGCCAGCCCATAAGAAACTAAGTACTCAATAGTAAAATCTGCAGCATGATAAAATTAAGTGGAAAGTAGTTCCAAGATTGTTTGTTACAATTGAGGAAGACAAATGTTGAGTCCTTCAAATTCTCTTGTTCAGTAATTGCAGTTCCCTTCCCCTCCCTGGAAATCTTCTAAGCTGTTCTTTTCCTTTTAAGTTTGCTCAGGCACCCAAAATCATAAAGAATTAATGCTCTTGTAATGGTCATTTGTACATAAAGTTGTAATTATTTATTTTCTCATTTGTACCATATCAAGGCTTTGTACAATGTTTTAAGTTTTGTTTTCAAATTATTTTGTATTTTATTTTTATAAACTGGTTCTAAATAAAATATTCATTCAGCATGCAAAACTTCAATTCTTGATTGTGTTTGTATAATGATGTAATTATTTATAAAGCTTCTGTTGAATTTTTTTCAATATTTTTTACTATTGTAACCCTGTACTTTAAATGGAGAACGTGCTTTGCCAGTGATTTTTTTTTTTTTTCCTGTTACAAGAAAGCAAAAAGGTCTCTAAGAGGAGACTTGTCTCATCCTCTGTATAATACACTTAGGTAGCAGATAGCCACTTAAATTTTGTGCTATGTGGAAATGTAGTGTTAAACTACCAGTTGCTGTAGTTTCTGCCAAGATCCTTCATTTCTGTTTCTAGTAAAACTAGGTAAAAGTAGACTATAGTATCATCACCATTTGTATCTGTGGTTTATGTGCCTGCATGTCTCAGTCCTTGTATACTGTGGAAAATATGGCCTGCTCTTTGCGCAGCAGAACAAGGTTTTTAGGGAGCTCCAGAAGAACTGGAGAAAATTCCCTAGATCTCTTTCTCGACATTATCACTGTTGCGCCTTTTATGTAAGGCAAATTAAAAGCCAGCTCTGCCCATGTTCAAATCATTTTCATTAAGCTTCATGACCAGGTCGTTAGCTCTTGTAATTTATATAAATAGCCCACATTGCTTCACATGACAGGAAGCAAATTAGGAATTCATTTACTCAGTAACATTCCACGAAAATAATGTTTTTTCTTCTGTTAAAAGCAGCCAGAAATTGAATGGCATGCTTCTGGATGGTGTGCGCTTTTGGTGCTCCCACCAGAACCCTTGTTTGATCACAGAAAGGGCACATAAAGAAACAGCAAGCCAGCTGTATTAATTTGAAGATGAAAATAACAAATTTGTGCACTCTGGACTGGGGACAGGTAGCTCAGTATCCTCAGTATCTTTCCCTGTTTAAAATATTACTTAAATCTGGATGATAGCAGCAATGGAAGAGTGGTTTTGACCTGGCTCTGGTATGCATTAGCAGTACAACTGACAGACCGTGGGAAAGAAGCAATATTGCAACAAAGACGCTGTGGCAGATTGATGTTGGGGTCTGGTAGTTGTCTGACTGCTGAAGTGTCATTTGGCATTGCCTGGCTTGTTGTCTTCATTCATACAGGAGATCCAGTCTGCCCACTCTGCTCTTGGGATCTTGCTGCGCTTCTCTGCACTTGCACCGTAGCTTCCTCTCATTTACATTTGTACTTGAACGTGAGAAAGCTGTGTAGTAGACGCAAGCCAGCGCTCCCTAGAAATGCTGTAGTAAGTGAAATTCAAGAATTAACAATTGGAGAAAGAATTGAAACAGTGAAAGAAAGTCAGACAGGTCACAACTGACTGTTGCAACCCAGAAAAGCTCAAACTGCTGCCCCGAAGGATCAGGTAAACTTTAGATCGCATTTTGCTGATCTGCCTAGAATGTCATGGTAGTGGTCATGGGCTTCTTTGTCCATGAAAACACAATACAAACGAAGGGTACCTTCTTCAGTTACAGAAAACACTGCTCGAGAGAGCCCATCTGTATGAAGGGGGGAGAAATAATGCTTTCAGCAGGTTAATTTGGAAAGCTTTTGACAATGTAGACTCAAAAATCAGATTTAGAAGAATTAGTTCTTTCCCGTTTTTAAAACCAGCAATTTATGGATAAGGCAGTGATACCTGTCACCCACACCATCTCATTTTGTTAAAGTAAACCTGAAAAAGAAAAGCTCCTCTTCTTCAAGGCATTAATCCCAAGTCACGTGTGCAGGACATGTATATGTTTTAATTTTGTGAGATATTTGCATATTTTACTCCATCTGTCACAGTGAAGGGAAACACTCGGTAACAACATGTCCACTCTGTGTTCATGTTTTATTAGGCATCAGCTGTCAGTTTTTGAGGCGTGTGTGTGATGAGTACACCGTAATGGTGTAAGAGCAGAAGTAAAAGAAAAGTACTTACCTTTTCATATGGTATAATGCTGTCAAAGCTGACTGCAAAGATGACATCTCTTACTCTATGATCACAGGTTCTTATGCTGCTAGGAGAGGGACAATTGGGTTGCCATCCTCTAGGTAATTTGTATTTGCTAAATTCTTGCAGCAGTATTGCTTTTGCAAAATGACTGGAAAACCAGAGGCAGTTAGTCATTGCTCTCGGACAAACTTACCTGTAGAACTTTAATATTGGTAATAAATGCTTAAAGAAGAGGACCTGCATGATTTTCAGGTCATGGGATAAAATTGCAGGGGAGAGGGTTTTTGTTTTCCCTGCAGTATGGACATACGAACACAGCACCTCTGCTAATTTTTTATTATGCAAAGTAGAGTAACCCTAATATATAAGCCCTGAACATACCAGCCTTAAACACACCTTAAGAATTGTGACAGTGACAATAGTTTCCTTCTATCTAAATGTGAAAGGGAGATTTTTTATTTTTCATGTTGGGATAAAATTACAACTTTGTGCTTGTGTCAAGAGTTGACACTTAACAGATTACTTTTTGCTCCAACTCCTCTTTCTTTTTCATTGGATATATAGTTACGAGAATGAAAGATGTTACTTATGCCTCTCACAGGCAAAGATGAAAGCTTCATAAACTACGCAAGAGTGTTTGTTCTGTCTGGAGCAAAGTCAGCCCCTGCCTCCTGTAATTTGTTTAACAGCAAATCTAACTTCCATGTCATGAAAAACAACACAGAAGCTTTTTTCCTCTCTCTATTTTAAACATTGTGGTATTGATTCCAGGAGGCTTGCAAAATCTGGTGAAGATACAACCTGCTTAGAAACCATAGGCGGAAAAATTACTCCATGTCACAACCAGGCATCATTCATCAGTTACTATTTTTTTGCTGTATTTCTCTATTTTAATCATGTGACAAGAAAGTGCCTACCCTGCTAGTGCAGTAAAACAAAATGCTTCTGAGGAGAAGGTGCGTTTGACAAGCTGGGAATGAACAGCAGCCAAGGGGAACAACGCTGTATGAATTCTGAAGAGGGGCACATTCATGAATCAACAGCTCAGTCCTAAAGCATTCCTAGAGTAAGCAGGTATGTCAAACTCTTCCTGCGATACCTTGCACAGCTCAGACTAAAAAAAAAAATCCCAACAACAACCACCAAGCAAACAAACCCAACGTTATAATTATTAGAAAAACCAAGTAATTAAAAAACCAACTACTTCTGAGGTTTGTTTAATCAAAAACCTAAGCAACTTGTGAAAGACAGCTCCTGCTGCTCAGTAACCATGTTACCTCTTTATTCCACTCTCATGGCTTTTATTTTTCAAAAGATCACATTAAATAGAGGATGATACAGACAAGCGTCTTAGTCAAAATAAATCTGGATTTTTTGTTTGGTTGGTTGTTTTTAAGAGAGTAAGAAGATAATGGAATAAAATTATTAGCCAAGTGCAACAGAGTTAACAAACAGGAGACTGGTAATTAGTGTTTAATGCCACCTACAGTGAAATGTTTCCCACTGGGAAAAATGTGGGAGGCAAGTCCGCTTTGCTCCTTTCAAGTCACAGGCCGGAGCAGAACATACAACAGCACCTAACACCACAGTCACTTTATATATATATATTCAAGTTTTTACACATCTGCAAAGCAGAAGTAGTAGCAGCCATTTGGATGTTCTTTCTTAATGGTTCTCAGGGGGGGCCTAGGAAACTCGGAAGGACCTGGATCTTGTGACATGGAGCTGCAGCTGCTGCTTCTGCTGCTGCTTCCAGCCACCTGTGCCCTACCTCTGTCCTCAGCAGGGGAGACCTGGGGGGAAGCCGGGCTCAGGTACCCCGCTGTGGTCTGAGTAGAGGCAGTGGCGTACGTGGTTGGGCCAGTGTTGTTTTTCACATAGACGTTTTTGATAGCAACAAGTGTATGCGCCATGATGCTGAGGCTGTTACTCAGATCTTGCATGCCCTCCTGCAGCAGCCGAAGGTTGTGGTTGACACTGTCAAAGCCAGACTGGATCACCTGCATCTGGGCCTGCTGAATCTGCAGTAGATCCTCTTCAGTTATTTCACTGTGGTCTGCCTGGGACCTGCCTTTTGTTTTGGCTTTTACTTTCCCAGAGGAACCACTGCCTGATGTCCCTAGAAAAGACAGTTGTTCTTGGCTAGGTGGAACCACCGCCATGTCCTCAGAGCTTTCTTCTGGCTCTATCACCTTCACTACTATTTCTTCTTTGAGGTTCATCTTCTCAAGACTGGATTGATGAGATGGGCCAGGATTGTCATTAAACCCTAGAGGAGCAAGGGGAGAGAAAAAGCAAAAGGATCAGTGAGAAACTTCACCATCTCAGTGGTCAGTGAAATGTGTTCTCATCCACTAAGCACGAACATTAGTCCTTGAACCATGACTCTACAACTCCCACTGCATTATCTTTGATGCTTTTAGAATACGTATTACCTCGACAGCTGGGAAGAAAACCACAAAGATGCATTCGCGATCTATCTGCATACTACAGATCCCTTACTAACCCCACCACACAAGCCAGCTTTTGGGTCCAAGACACAAAGTTCATCACAAGCTTATTTCATGCTCTACCACGCATGCAGTAACCAGCAACAGCACCGCCGGACACTGTGATTTCAAGGAACCCCCTGGGGTTGCAGGTGCTTATCTCAGCGCACCAACGCGATGCCTTGGGCACGTACAAAAAGCCACCTATTCGCAGCGCTTTCGGGCACTCACCCATCTCCCCCAAGGCGCCGGGCAGCTCCAGCGTGTCGATGCCGCCCACGATGGGCACGGCCTCGGCGGGCAGCAGGGAG